AACCTTCCCTGCTGATGTAGCATCAAGTCATTTTTACTTCCTCAGAATAAGAGCTACTTTTGAGCAAAGGCTCATTTTGTATTTATAAAACATGTGCTTTTGAATGGTCTTATAAAGGCTTTTCTGAAATTTCAAGTAGCATTAAGACTTTTAACCTAACCTCCATTATTGTTTTTCTTTTAGAAAATGAGAATCGCATGCTCCTTCCCTGTGAGTATTGACATTAATCTACTCAGTCCCGAATAAAAAAACTACTTCTGTGGCCTTGCCATCTTTCTTGGTGTCAGCTGACTCACAGCACAGAATTAAGTAAGTCTCATCAAGAAGTCAAATAATGTACTTTAAGTTTAGTGTAACTATAACTGAGGTAAAGCAGACTGAACCTGAACTCAGAGAATAATGAGTTGATCCAGCTGAATCTCTCGCTTGCAGCCAAGCAGTTCACCAAGCTCACATGCCTGTTTGGCATGGGGAGACACACCTATAGGCAACAGTTCTACACTATTCAAGTTAATTTGGCCATTTTCCCTTCAAAAATACCAAGTAACAAGGTTTCCCTGAGGATTTGTTCCACAATTCAATGGTTTTCACTTAATGACATGGTGGGGTGAGGGGGCACCCACCCCACTGGCAAAGCAAAGTGGAAGCCTCACCTGCATATTCCCAGGCAATTTGGAATTCCTATGTTTTGGGGGACAAAGTTTGGGTGATGCAAAAGCTGTCTTCAGTTTTTCAAGGGAGTAATTAGGCTCTAGAGCTGTGGGGGCAGCTTTGCAAGTTCTGGCCAGAAGACATTTCTCTGCTCATCCCCTGACATGTGATAAGACTTGTCAGGACACAACATGCTTTTGCAACAATCTGATCACATTTGAATATTTAGAGCTTGGGCTCACCTGGGCAGGGCCTGAGAGCTGGCACTCAGGAGGAAGCCCCTTGCTAGATCGATTTGACTGGAATAATCGACTTCAAAGGAGTTCTGACTTGATTCACTGGAGTCTGAAGAGTCAAGAAATTTGTATTAAAACAGGGAAGACAGATGTACATCTAAGGAAAAGCAATACTCCTCACAGCTCCCTGATTTGAGAAGTGGGCTGTACATGCTGCTCACCTCCTACCTAGCAGCCTCTCTTGCCCCAGCAAAGCTGCTGTGGCCACCCAGGCAAAGTTGGGAGAGCCTGCAAGTCCTGGGAGGCAGCTCTGCCAGGGCAAGGGAGTTGCACCGCAGCGAACACTGGAGGGTGGATCCAGAGCAGCCTTATGCTGAGGCCATACCCATTGAGCAGTACCTCAGTGAGATCAGGCTGGCAGCAACATTAATGGTGGGTGGGAGGCACCTCTACTCCTAGCCTGAAAACATATGATGCCACACACAGAAGCTCCTTCACAGAAACCAGTGGTGGCAAGAAGCACCTCTCATACCTGCACTGTGAAAGGGTCAGTGTTGCCCAGTGTGACTTTGCTGATTAGATGTGGATACATTCCAGTGCTTGGTAGGTTTCAGACCAGCAAATCAACTGAGAGGAGCTAAGTCTAGCTGATAACTCAAGGATAGGATGTTTTTCTCAACATGCCTATTCCTGAAAGGAAAAGGCTGTGCTGATATCTGGTGACTTGAAAAAAAAAATCTCTAACTGAACTTCTCCACTACATTAATTTGCTCTTAAACAGATTTTTGTCTGGGAATCTTATCGAGGGAATAACACACAGCTGTAATGGGAAGACATTTAAAAACTCTTGATCATCAGTTTCTCTTGCATCATAAAACAAAATCAAAACAGAAAGTAAACCTGATTTAGGGACATGCTGATTGACAACTTAATTAAATTCTGCAATAGTTTAAAATTACTGATCCTTTGTGTTGCTATTAGTTTCCCATTCATTCCCAGACCGCAATAGTCACAATTCCTACTGTACTGAAACTACAGAAGAGCTCTCATTGAGACTGCATTTCCTTCTACAGCAGCCTTGGTTCTGTTTTCACACAGTCTGCGTGAAGCAGTAGGTTTGAAATGACAAGGGAAAGCATCAGTCTAGCCCAGGACAAGGATATCAATTTTGTAAGGGCAGTTATTACAGCAGGGAGTAGTTGCAGATGCTGTCCAAACTAGCACAAGTCTTCTCGGGAATTCAGAGTCAAGATGACCAAATCAGTCATGGTGGAATTCCCACCCTTCAAAATCATGATTACAAACTGTGGCCCCTGTAAACACTCTTAATAGTACTACAGGCTGTATCTGTTAAACACATGCTCCCTAGATTACTTTCAAGAAGAAAATTTGAGATAGAAGTAACAAGATGCATCATTTTAACTGTCTGTAGGGTCTTTGCAGTTAAGTAATCCATTGATTTTGTGTTGTGTGTTCCTGTGGAAAGCTTTTTTTTTAAATCACTGTCTTCATTTCTTGATAACTTGCTTTTTCAAGACAGGTTATATTAATATAAAACAGAAAACATACAGTAACTTTTCTCTTTCTCATAGTTCCTTGGCACTGAAAGTCTAGCACATGAAGTTTAATAATACTTATTAATATTTGTTAAATACAACTGCACAGATTTCTGGCTGCTGAGTTTGTGATTAGCATTTGTATGAACTGAAAGAGGTGTTACCCCCACCCATCCTGCATTGTCATTCAGGCCTTGCATAATCCCCGCCCAAATGCCTATTTTCATCTACACAGCTCATTATTTTTTCTGAATCACATATGGAAGCCACACCTGTGATTGCTCATAGACTGCTGCTCCATTATTTATATATTGGTATGCACCTTGATCCCAGTTGTGGTTAATTTTGGAAAAGGTGTTAGGCATTCCACATTTTAAGTGGCA